AGTTAAAAGCGAAAAGAATGGGCGAATTTTTAGTAAGAAAAAATTTTTATTTGTTTTCAGAGTTTTGTTGAGAGTTCTGAGTACCCCCTTGAGAGTTCTACCCAAAACTCCTTAAATTTTTTTTGTCCGGCCAATATTAAAAAGGTTATAAGCAAAAACAAGGGGCAAATTTTTATTATCAAAAAAATTTAATTTGTTTTTTTTTCAGAGTTCTGTTGTGAGCTCTGAGCGGCTCCTCGAGAGTTCTAACTAAAACTCTTATAAAGCTTTTTTGTCCGACCAATACTAAAAAAGTTATAAGCAAAAACAAAGGGTAAATTGTTATTAAACAAAATTTCATTTATTTTTCAGAGTTCTGTTGAGAGTTCTGAGTAGCCCTTTGAGAGTTCTAACTAAAGCTTTAATAAAGTTTTTTTGTCCCACCTATAGTAAAAAAGTTATAGATAAAAACAAGGAATTTTTTTTAACAAAAAATTTCAGTTTGTTTTTCAGAGTTTTGTTGAGAGTCCTGAGTAGCCCTCTGAGAGTTCTAACTAAAATACTTATAAAGTTTTTTGTCCGACCAATAGTAAAAAAAGTTATAAACGAGGGGTGAATTTTTATTAACAAAAAATTTCATTTGTTTTGCAGAGTTCTGTTGAGAGTTATGAGTAGCCCTTTGAGAGTTCTACCTAAAACTATACAGTTTTTTGTCCGACTAATAGTAAACCAGTTATAAGCAAAAACAAGGGGCAAATTTTTATTAACAATCAAATTTTATTTGTTTTTCGGAGTTCTGTTGAGAGTTCTGAGTAGAAGTATAAGCAAAAACAAGGTTCGAATTTTTATTATTATCGGTTTTAGCTGTCCAAATAAAGGAGTTTTGCAGTAAAATCCCATATCTGAACAACAAGTTGTATGGAGCCAATAAATAAGTAAATAAATAACTCAGGGGCTACTAAGAACTCTCAACACAACCCTGAAAAAAATTAAAATCTTTTCAACAATTTTTTGTTGAGCTTGAGGCCGTTTATAATGAAAAACTTATTGCGGAAACATTAAATTTTTTGTTAATAAAAATTTGCCCCTTGTTTTTGCTTATAACTTTTTTACTATTAGTCGGACAACAAAACTTTATAAGAGTTTTGATTAGAACTCTCAGGGGGCTACTCTGAAAACAAATAAGGTAAGCGGTGACAGAATTAGGTAAAATTTCTCAAATAAAAAATTTTGGAGTTTTTGCAGAACAATTTACAAAACCGTTTCAGAACTCTAGAGCTCTTTATCGTACACTGGAATAAGGCATTAGAACTCTTTTTCCTGGAAATAAGGTGGCGGCGTGAAGTTGGCCCCCAAATCGTTTTTTTTCTATTTCTGCCCGGAACTATTGTAATTTCCAGTCAGGAACTTTAGAACTCTTTAAAATCTAGCCAGAACTCTAAAAAATTACACATTTGTCGAAATTTCGGGCGCCAACTTCACGGGAGTGTGCCCTCGGGTATAAAAAGATATTTAACTAATAAAAATATTGTAGAAGTAATTTCAGCAAACTAAATGCAACCCAGAGGGAAGTAATGGCGGTTTATGGTAAATCACCCGAGCTTGGTCAAAAATTTCCTGCCGAAATGACCATTAACTAGTATTTTTATCATTTAATATTGAATTTAACAAAAAATCGTCAGTTACCAACCTGACGTTCAGAGATTTTAAATGCATTGATAAAATAGCACTGAATGATGAAAGTCTATCACTGGAATGGAACTCTTGCTGGTTCTTCTCGAATCTGGATATAAATCAGATCAGGATTGGACAGATTTTTGGCTCTTAAAGCGGTCAAAGAGCCAGCAACTGCTACACAGGAAGTAAAGCAGTCCCTAGGGTAAAGGGGTTATAAAAAATACATTAAAAGAATCATATGTATATATTAGTAATGAGAGTCGGAGTACAAGAAATTTTATTACGCTCTTCTTACCCCTTCATGCTGAGTTTTGATATCACCCCTCATCTAGCACCTAAATGTGCCAGTCCGGCTCCTAAGTGCAAAAGGCTCCTGGGAACCACTTTGCCCATCTCTGAATTATATCAATTTAATAAAGTGGTAAACTATTTGTATGATAAATATGTTCCTCTACGTACTATAAAAGTGAATGATTATAAGAGACCGTGGTTCACAAAGCCCATTCTTAATCTTATGAAGGATCCAGGTAAGGCCTATAAATATTGGAAGCAGTATCCTTCTGACGGCCGTTGGAATGCATATAACAATTTAAGAAATAAAGTAGCAAAAGAAACGCGTTACTATAAAAGAGTTCATCTGGAAAATAAGCTTGATACAACCCTGTAGTCAAATGTACTAATTGTAAACGACCTCACAACTTGTATGAACCGCATGGCCAACTAGTCAGCCAACTATTTCTCTCCATGACAATCACTGGTATTTTTAACATGGGGATGTCCTACGAGATGGCAATTGTCAGATTTCGGTCAGAAATATACCAGTCTCATATTAGTTCAAAATAGACAGAAAAATACTAGTCCAATTTTGGACCAAGACAACCACTTGGGAGTCAACAAGTTAGTTGAATTCACGAATATACAATAAAACACTTTTGATTAGCAGCCTTAGAATATTCTTTACCTATTGAACGGAATAGAAGTATATGCACATATGTACATACATACATAGGTATGTATACATAATCACATATGTACATCTAATTTATAAAAATCTCATGTCACGGTGTTTGTGGTCGAACTCCTCCTAAACGGCTCGACCGACTTTGTATGCATATACATTTTTGGTCATGAAGAAAAATTGGGGTCTATTAAAAAAGGGGCGCGGCACCTCCCATACAAACTCAATTTTTTATACTGCATATCACGGAAAATGTTCATGGAAGAGGACTCGAACATGGTATATAGAATATAGATATATGAAAGCAATCGCATACTCATGCAGAAAATTGTGGTGACCGGAAAACAAAGTCGGATTTTTCATACTGCATATCTCTGGAAGTGTTCATGGTACAGTACTCGAACATGGTACGGAGATTTATGAAAACAAGCGCATACTCATGGAGAAAAATTGCGGTTATTGGAAGGGGTGCAGGCACGAATTTTTCATACTGCATATCTCCGGAAGTGTTCATGGTAGAGTACTCGAACATGGTATGGAGATATGTGAAATCAATCCCATACTCTCAGAGAAAATAGGGTCTATTTGAAAAGAAGGCGTGGCGCCTTTCAATCTCACTGATACTATTACGTATCTTTGTATGCATATACATACACCTTTGCTAGGTTATTTAAGACGGAAATAGAAATATGCCTTCTGACAACCACAAAACCGTAATATTACAAGATAAATGCACGACTGAATATCATCAGCGTGAACTGCTGGTGAAAATGTTGGGCCAAAAGGTTTCAATACAAAAATTCATTTTGGGCGGGACGAAGTTCGCCGGGTCTGCTAGTACATATGTAAAACGTAGCGCTGATCAACCGTGGTCAAAGCAAACGTGAATTTTTGGCTTCTATCGAAACCAAATACGGAAAGTACATACTCTCATACAAAGCACTGCTACTGCATTTAGCCGCGCTAGGGCAGTACAGTGTCTCAAGAACGTAAAGTAGCACAGTGGGACAACATAAATAAAAATTGAATACAATACAAATAAATAGGTAGAAACATTTATATTTGTTCATATTCTGCCATCTATCTCCCGCAATCATTATTAGTTACCAAAGTGTGGGACCCTTATATAAAGAATTTAGGTTTGAATGCCATAAATTGGATTTATGTTGCCAAAAATGGTCATCATGCTCACCAAGGAACCTCTCAGCGTCGCTGTTAAAGGTAAAAATCAACGTTTTAGACAAACACTGGGAAAGTTGATTGGCTTCTTTCAACTTTCTCTCAATCCCGCACTACTCTGAAGCTAGTAACTCCGCAAAGCTAGTATTTGAAAGATCCTCTACTAAATATACTAGTTGCAAAGCTGAAATGGTTGAAGCATTGGACGCCCTCAATTCCAACTCAGCAACTCCGTAAATCCCAATACCTACACCTAATCCGTCGCAACCTTCAGCCCCCAATGAAGGTCACCCAATTATGCAGTCCACTATTCAGGTGTCTTCCCCCACAGACACAGCCTGAAAATATCCCCCTATAAATTCCATTCCAATGAACTCAAATAGCGCAGAATCCTCCAATGATTCTCTAAAGTGCTTCCGAACTCAACCCTCTTCCAACTTACATCTACCCCAAAAAGTGTCAGACGCGGTAACTTTCGGCCGGCAGGGGCTCTACCGCCGATGCAAGCTCGGCAGAAGCCATCAACTCTCAACCCCGAAGATGTTGAAAACTGTTCAAACTTTGGTAAAACCACAAATACGTCAGCTTCAAGACCAACATGCCCTCTACTACAAACCACGTTCGATCCCAGCAGCAACCACAATGGCCTACAATGTCATCACCTTCATCAACACAGGAACAGCAGGAAAAGCTGTGGTTAGATTGAAGCTTCTTACCGACGCTTATTACACACTTTTTGCTTCAACTCTGAGGCAAAAGGACACCCAGACGTCAACTTCATTTCGGTACACAAGTAACCATAGTCACCAACAAATGCACAAGAGAAGTCACACCCAACTGGTTGCGAGAGGACCAGTGTCGATTTATCCCCCATACATCCCAAAAGTGATGTTACACTCCAAAGTCGAAGGGCGTACCTACAGGAGAATGTCTGTAGGAATTTCTCTGTACCTAAACCCTTATTGAATCATAATCCATCCACTTTGAATGGGCGTTATCATTCTCAACATTGGAAGTGTGGACGCTTTACGGGGCCTTCTCCTACACCCGAAGCATATCCCACAAATAAACCTCCTATCACCAATTATATACGCATGCTCCAAGCTCACCCACTTTCTCACGCAATATCTCTCTCAAACACGAATTTAGCTAAATTCACATCACTCGTGCTTCAAAACTAACTCATTTTACGACTCTTTTTCCACAGGCTAACCAAGATGGGTCGCAGTTCTAGTGAAGGGTCTCCACTCCTCTTTTTCCAGGGATCCCAGGTCAGTCCGTATGAAGAACAAATAAAACGGTATCCCTACTGCCTTAACTGCCTGGCTACGTTCCACACAACCGGGTATGCAATACGTTCGACCGCTGCGATAACTGTGGTAAGGCACCCCACACTATACTCCGTCGCTCAAAAAGTATTAAGTATTTGGTAAATGAAATGTAATCTCTGTATATGTACTTCTTAATATTGCAACCTTGTATCTTATATCGTAATTTAAGTGACGAGTCGCTTTGGTTTGTAAACGACGGTGTGGGGCGACCCGACCGCGCCAGCCTAAAGGCAGTCAACTCGCGACCGCCCCCGCACTCATTTGTAAATTTGAACTCATCAGCTAAGCTCCTCTGGCAAACAATAACACATGAACTCAGTTTCGCTCAAACAATTAGCTTAAGTTAAAAGAAATACATATAACTTTGTATATTCACCAAATAAATGAAATGAATTAAACTTATAATACTATATATACACACTTATAATTAAATCCTCTCTTTTCTTTAAATTGATTGACCGGTGCACCCTGCACCCGCCCCAAAGTTCGAACCCTAAGTTTTAAACAGTACCGACTGTCACGTTTAGGTCTTTCCACAGTCAGCGATTGGTGGGTCCCATGTCGCAAACGGCCGCTACTACTGGGAAACCTATATTTCGTAATATCACAATTATTGAAAATGAGATAAACTTAGTCATTACGCAGTTGTAATCCAAAAATATAGGCTGCTTTCACCATTTCCTCAATCCATGTGCCATAACGACTTGGACATAGTTCGCAGGCTTTATAACGAAGTCTCCCGGCTGATCATACTCGAAAGACTCCGCGACTTTCCTCTCATCGAATGAGAGAACGCAAATTTTTTCGCCTTTCGAAAGATTGGGCCTGTGTTGCATAATCTCGATGGCTGCGGTAATGATGCCTTCGTTCACATCTTTTCGGTACCAGCCAGGGAACTGCAATTATTCGTATTTTTAAGTAATTGGTTGAATAACACAAGAAATAGTGTTAGTGGATATTATTCATTGCAGAATATTCACACATATGCACTAACACTATTTTACGCTCGGCACACAAAGCGAGAGCATGTACAATGACTAAGTTCTCTGTTGATATGAATTAGTGTAGTGCTCCATTCTCTCATTGAGCCATTAAGCAAATTAGTTATCAGTGTTCCCATTTTAGCCGTTTTCCGGATAGATTTAGCCGGTTGCGATAGCAAACAGCCGGAGAAATTTCGATTTAGACGGCAGCCGATTTGTTAGCCGTTTTGCAGAAAAAAATTAGCCGTTTTTAGCCGATTTTGCTATTTGCCTTGTTTTCTTAAATTTCAAATATGTATATATGTTTCCATTTTTGACTAAGCGACACGAAATCTGTTAGAAATGGCTACTAGCCTTATCGTGAAGAACATTTTCATGTCAGGCAGGGCTGTATGAAATCGGGCCGATTTCGCTTATTTTTATTTTAAACGAAGAAGGGATTTTCTTCATAAAATGTTTGTTATAAATGTCTTAGTTTTAAGTGTGAAGTTTTATTCGCAAACTTAGAAAATAAGAAATTATTTCACTGTTAAGACACTTAAGATGCGTTTGTGTTTGGTGCCAACAAACCGAATAAATATTACATGTAGATATTGTCTTCCCAGATAGCGCATATTCAATTCTGCCTAATTTACAAAACATCATTTTTGCCCACTCCCAAAGGTTTAAGGTAAGGGAAAAATTGATATTTGCAAGCTTTATTTACACATATGTATTTTTTTAAACAAACTTTTTTGCTGAGACTTATTTAAATTCCAAAAACCGAATGCCAACTTGAATTAAAGGAACCAACACTGAAGTGAATCAAAATGAAAATAAAAGAGCACAAATTTCTATGTAAAGCAAAACTCTCTGGGAATCCTACGAGACATCTGCCGGTCATATGACCGGTCATCTAAATGGGAGATCTGCAGCCTTTTGGCATCATATTTTACATCAGAATTGAAGGGATTTCTGAAAAATCTGACCAGTTTTGTTGTGTAACTGTGAATTTGCATCCCTTGTCAACATATGGCCTCGGTTGATGTTAACTTAAGGTCGTTGTTTTACTGCCTTAAAATTGAAGGGAAATTTTTACAGCGTGTTTTATGTGTATTGGTTTCTATTTGTGTGTATTGAGAATCGTTCAGTCTGAAAAGGCCTTGTAGGGAAGATAGTAGGTTTGTTCGTCGAAAATCCAGCGAGAATTATCATTCAAAATATCAGATAGTAAGAAAAAATGCTCCCAAATTCTCTCTCATGTAGAGAAACTTGGAATTTTCTGTACGAACGCAAATTTGCAAGTTTTTCTGCCAGCTGGTGTCCACGGTTGCATTTCAAACAAAAGAAATTTGTATAGCATTTTTAAAATTCTTTCAGAGGGGCAAAAAACAGGATCTACGTGTATATATCTGGTCAGTCCGACTTTCTTCAACATACGTTTCCATTTCTTTGTCGGGTTTACTATATCGACTCTGGTTGAGATTGCATTCCGATTAAGAATACAGTTTTTTTTTGCCGAGTACCTTTCAAATCATTGGAATTAACTAAATTAATTAAGTAAACAAGTATTAACTTACATTTTTCATTTTAAAATCGCTCCAGTTTGTAAATTTTTAAATTTAAGGAACTTGTTTATTCAAATTATCGTCGACAAAAAATCCAACCATGTGCCACAATCATATGTTTTTCCTAATTGCAAAGTCTTGCTGACAAAATTTTTTCCGGCTCGAATTTGTAACTTCTCTCCAAGAAATAGTCTTTTTACTCGTGATTTATTTAAACAAACCATGTGAAATTTAGTTGAAACATTTTAGCCGTTTTTAGCCGGTATTTTTTGTCAATTTAGCCGGTTCGTCCAAAAAGTTCTGGCAACACTGTTAGTTATACCGAAATGAGTAGGAGCACTAAGAAGCACCAATAGTTCAGTTGAGTGATTTTAGTGAATTTAGTGATTTTCGTCGTTTATACCAACAAAACATGTGAACACGACGAGAAAGCGACAGCATGCGAAGGCGCACTAACACTCTCTGACTTTTAGCTCACACTTCCCAGCAAACATTTGGAGTCATAAATGAATATTTAAGGAGTCTCATTTCGGAGCCTTTATGCTCATAATGATATCATTTAAGAGTCCGAAATGAAGGTGTTTCCCTTCCTGCGAAGGTCGACCTACACGAGCTTAAATTCATACATCAAATGAGCTTCAATATGAGTCATATTGGACTCATATACAGTTCATTTTGGACTCTTTTTGAAGCTCTTTAATGACTCTTATTGGCCTCATAAATGCCTACTTTCGGAATCTTTTTTTATGCTGTTCTGTAAATCTTATTGGCCCTATTCTTCGACTCTTATTGAACTTACTTTAGAGCCATGTTTGCAAGGAATTCATTTCAAATACTGTTGCATACATATATTTGTATATTGCAGCATTCATGTAATATCAGCTGCTGCAGCTAAATTTTGTTTATTTTTTTCTTCCTAATTATTTTTCATATCTGTATAAACAACTTTAGATATAAATTTCGAGTCGTTATTGTTTTTATACTGGCACAAAGTGCTTTCTCATAACTTGGATCATATATGACTCCTAAAAGATTCATATAAGAGTAACAAATTTTTTGTTTTTGAAACTCTTATTTTCTACCTATTTCCTACTCCTTTCGGACTTATATATTCTGAGCGCTCAAAATATGTTTGCGGGGTTGTTTATGGTGGCGCCCGCATGTCGCACAGTGTTGGGAAATGAAATAGTTCCTTCAGTACGAAATCTATACAAAAACTATACTTTTCGACTGTAAATTGCATCGACTTTTTAATTTGCTCATATATTTTCTTAGTACATGCCTACATAGATTCCCTTCAAGATCAATGATTTGATGGTATTCATGGGATGTAGGTACATTTTGCTCTTTGAACATAAATGTGTATGCACATATTTTAAGGTACACTTATTAACAAACAAATTTTTTTTTAAGTTATTATGCATGGATAAAGGAGACATCTTCTTTGAATTCAGTACTAAAGTTTGACATTTTATTTTTAGTATTTCATGTGCTTATCAAAACTTTACGACGCTCACATATTGACAAGATTGGCCATTTATCTTAAAATTATTTAATTTTAATTATTTGTTTATAAAAATGCAGTTTATACTTTAATAAAACCCCAAGGTTAAATTTTTGCGCAACATTAAAAAAATCATTACATTAAAAAAACTTTCGTAAAAATTTCGGGCTTTTAACTAGATTTCCTAGAAATACATGTTTTGAGAATGCCGTATGTAGTCCGATCAATTTAAATGAAGTGCAAGTTTAAAATAGCTGCGACTTATCGTTGATTTTTAATATATATATATATATATATTTTTTTTTTTTGATGAAGCTGTTGCTCATTTTCTTCGTTAAAAGAAAAAAAACGCATTTAGTTAATATGACATGACGGCAAATTCCAACTGCTTTAAACTTGCACCTTATTATACTAAAATTGAAATAGAAAGCTCGAAACGTTTACGAAAGTTTGTCGATTTTTTAATGTTGTTCAAAGATTTAAACTTATTTTCATACAGTTTTTGTTAAGGAATTAACTATATTTTTATAAACAAATAATTAGAATTAAAAAATAATAAAATAAATAGTCATTTCTAGTCAATATATGAGTGTCGTGAAGTTATGATATTTAAGAACATAAAGAATTAACGATGACACTGTTTCTAAGTATATGAAGCTGATTTCGACATTTTGTTTTAATAAGATTTAGTATCGAAAATATTCTTTCAAAACTTGCCTAGGAATGTAAGGTTGATAGCACACCTTTTGCTATGTTATAATGGTTATTTAAAACCCTTTTACTTACAAAGGCAAAAACGAGAAGGCGAAGACAAAAAGATAAAACGAATTCCCGCAGTGAATTTTCAGAGCTACGTATATATTTATAGTATTCATCACAAAATTGTACTAAAAAGTACTGCGTAGTAAACGAAATTGTATCAAAAAAGTACAATTGTACCAAAATCCCAACACTGATGTAGAACAAAGCAGAACACAAATAATATTAAACTCATTGAAATTATTTTCAGCCTCTCACTCGAC